AGGGTTTTTTCCCCCTGTCTCCTTCATTTAATGGAATCCTTTTATTCTAAGCTTTAATTTTTAGTTTACTGGCGTGTAGAGAGATCTATGAGGTAATGTCCATGAGGCTAACTTAGTAGGAGATGAGCTTTCATTCTGTTTTCCATATTCAGGCTACCTCGTTTCGCTCAGTGTGGATTGGGGCATTGGCATGCGTAGTGTTGGGCCTCTCTCCCCGTCTTATGGGATTTCTTGCCACCATCCCTCTTGGAATTCATGGTAATAAATGTTTTCTGTATATCTCCCTGTGCACTGATTGGGGGTATTTTGGGCCACTATCTGCTTATTCACATCAGTGAGGTAAACTGGTCCTGCCTCTTTTTTTTGAACTGAATTGAATACTTTATTTGGCCAAGTGTGATTAGATACAGAAGGCATTTGTCTCCAATGCAGAAGCTCTCAGTGTACATGCATAGTGACAGAATAAATATAATCACAATAATAATAATACCAGTAAGAAGGGGGAGTAAGAAAGCTAATAAGAAAGATCAATAATTATGCTACAGCCATACTAATAGGTAAATACACATAGACATTAGACAGCACTGGGAGAATTAGGTGTTCAGCAGAGTGATGGCACAAGGGGAAAAAACTGTCCCAGTGTCTAGTTGTTATGGCCTGCAATGCCCAGTACCACCGTCCCAAGGGGAGAAGTTGAAACAGTTTATGTCCAGGCAGGGTATGAGGGATCTGCAGATATCCTCTCAGCTCTCCTTCTGACCTTCACAATATACAGGTCTTCTATAGAAGGCCGGCTGGTTGCAGTTGTTATTTCTGCAGTCTTAACTATCAATTGGGAGTCTGTTATGCTTGATTGCTGTACCTAAATTTTTTTTTTTTAAAAAAAACAGGTAATTATGGAACTTTATTTCTGGAGACAGGGATTCTGCATGGTCATTTTCAGCAGTGCTTGAATCCCAGAAAATGTCAGGGTGCACTCCCTGATTGCGGGTGCTTCTTGACAATTTTTTTAAATAACTAAGTCTTATTTATGGGATATTATGGCAACAGAGGTATTATTACTGATTTCCCTTTGTACCACTATTTGCAACAGCCATTAGAATTTTTCCATCTTTTTTTTTCTTACCATAAAAAGATCCGTTAAGCAGGAAAACATGGAAAAGCAGAATGCCTGTTGATTGGTAGCACCAGGAAATGGCCGTCTAAAATTACTCTTTATTCTACTACTTTGTCCTAACATCAAATGAATTTTATTCTGCTTTTTTCATTCATGGGGAATCTTTGATTGCCAATGCTGTCTTCAGGAGGAGTGCTTTGCGTAACATACAGTGTAGCTGTGGGCACTGGTGTCTCCTACTTCCAATACACAGATATTGATTCGGGCAGGAATATCTTCATTGTGGGCTTCACCATGTTCATGGGACTTCTGGTTCCAAAGTGGCTGTTTGGAGCACCTGAATCCCTTACCACAGGTACTGGTTGGGGGTGGAGTGGGATGAGGATTTCTGCATGCTCAGAGCTATAAGAAGTATAGCAAGACAAATGAAAAAAAAAGCCATGATTTTTTAACCAGATATTTTATTTTAATGACTTCTTTCATTCCCAACCAACATCTATTTCTAATCCTGGCCTATAATAAGAGTTATAATCAAAATATTTGAATAGCACATTTAAACTCTGCCTGTGTTAATACATTATGAAAGTAAACTAAAATTAAGAAAGACATAAAATCACTTTTAATGGTAACATTCACTGAAACATGTTTCTTTCCCAAGCTAACATTTTTGGACATATGTGAACTGAGTCTTTTAATTACAAGTAATTCTTTATGAAGTTATAGTAATGAGGAAATTTAGAATCTTCAAACAATTAAGTGTCCCTTGATCTAGGCTTCTGAATTAAGCTATATTGAAATAAAAAGAAACAGAAATAAATGATTTTAGCTAAATTGTTCAAGATGTTAATCTTTCCCATATGAAGCTCCCTAAGTATGAAGTTGTGCAATTGGGCTTTATTTGTGTTATCACTCATTCTGTGGAGATTTTTGGCTGTGGGATTATTGTTTAGGAATTCAATTTCTAATGTAATTGTTAAGCAAAAGTTCTATTTCAGCAAATATCTTTTTCTTTTGCCACTTTTATATTTAATTCTTTGTTTACTGATTATATTAGATCAACACAGGAAATGTTATATATAAAACATCAGGACATGACATTGTTAAATTAATAATAATGCTCTTTCTACAGGCTATATCCCATTAGACCTCTTTCTGCTTTCTTTGTTGATGGTTCCTTCTTTTATAACTGGATTCCTATCCTTCTTCTTAGAAAACACAGTCTCAGGTGAGGAGACAGATTTACTTAGTCTGATGAGTTATTGAGACATGTCTTCTAAAGTTAATTATTCATAATTTAATGTTATTGCGAAAGGACAATAATTGCTGCATGTAAAAATATTTATATTTATGGCTATTCTGGTAAGAGTTTGGATTAGTCACATTGCTGAATTTTTGTATATTTATTGATTAGTGGGAATAACTGTTAATTTTAAGTTTCTAATTGGTGTTTTGATTGTTATTATGAAGGTTGATTTCTCAAAGCTTTTTAGAGATGGGACATAACTATGTTGCAATCTAGGCAAGTAAACAGAGGTATACTTGCCTAGATTATAAAATATACTGTTCTCAGTTGAGTTACCCTTTTAAAAAAATCTCTACTACAATGTTAGCAAGGTCTTGTTATTAAAGGCAGAAAGCCCAAACAATTTTTTACCAAATTTTTCATACATTTGTTTCTTAGCTGCTTATGGACTTATTTTATTTGCTTATTACAGCACTTTCTGGCTTTTAACATTGCAAACTGTTTTGAGGGCTATATTATTTTACAAACAATGAAAAAGATGTGGAGCCATAATATCCAAAGATAAAATTTCCTCATAATGAAAACCCATATTTATGGATATTTTCAATTAATGTTATCATTTTTTCAAGGTACTCTGCAAGAGCGTGGACTACTCAACCCTTTGTCAACAAGAAATCTAGAAACTGAAAGCAACTCACTTCAACACAGAAAGGAGGAAGATTCTACACAAAGATGTAAACTATCTTTAAACCCACAAAGGCATTTGGCGCCATCATTGTGTAAAGGGTTTCCTTTCTGTCTTCTCTGTCCCCCCGAGAAAAGTGAACAGGAAACTATGAATCATTATCCGTTGTTCAAAGAACTGCACCATTTAGATGAAGAAACCACAGATCTACTGGTGAAAAGGGAAACAGTGAAACTGGAGTCAGAAATTGAGCTGGAAACAGAGAAGGAATTTAAAATTATACAAGGGAATTTGGAGAATCATAAGCATGATCGATCAATGGCCCATGAGATAATTCCTCTCTGTTGATTTGAAAAAAATCCTTTTTCCTATAAAAAAAATATTCTACAAAGACTATATAAATTACTTTGAAATTTCAAACATTTTGTTTGCAAACTACCTTGGAGATAAAAATGTGACAATCTTTGTTAAACATGTATTTTAAAATTCTTCCTTGAGCATTTCTTTGCCTGAGATATTTGTTCATTTATTTCCATCTCCCCAACTTCCATTAAGAGATTTTATTTTTCCGCTTGGGTGAATAGGGTTATTCCACAGTGGACAGTGTGTGGACAGTGTGCAACCGAGACCAGAATTCTGAGCCCAATTACATTAAACTGCTTGTATTGGATAATGAATCTGATGGGGGTTTTTTTTGTTTTTTGTTTTGTATTTCTATTTCATCTTTAAGTATCTGAATCCTTAATTATTCAATGAAAACCGTTATTTATCACTCAGATTGCCCTGTATCTAGAACAGAGATATTCCTCCCAGTGCTGTCAGGTTATATTACAATCATCTTTGCTTATTTAGGCTCAATTGTCTCAAAATCCAATAATTCTGAAGGTCCTACACACTGCAATTATGTATATTGGGTTTTACAATAAAAATGTGATGATTTATTTTACATATTTTAAAATGCATAAAATACAGAAAATGTAACAGCACAAAACAGTATCATGAACAATAGGACTATCAGATCTCGGCTTCAAAAATCTGAACTATTGTCAAAAAGAAGTTATCTAAATTTTCCAGCCAAGAAATGGCAGTAACAGAGGAGGAAGGATTTACAGCATGCTAATATAGTAACAATTTCATTTTTTTGTCATTTTTTAATGGCTTGGAACAATTGGCTTTTCATATTAGGACCATTTTTTCAACACTTGAGTCACTTATCAAGATCCTTTTATCTTGTCAACCACAAAAGTTTATGGATTAATATCAGAAAGAATATTTGTATTAGATTTAGATAGTAACGTTAAGACAGACAGCAATTTCTTGTTTTTGTTTTGCTTTATTTTGCTATTTTTAAACGTAGCACATTACAGGTAGCAGATAAATGCTAAAACCTCTCCACTTATGTTTCCGGATTAAAGAAGACCTTTCTTTTAGGACCGCTGGACTAGTGCAGGATGCATCTTTTTTGGTTCTGAGCTTTACTATTATTTTACTACAGGCGTTCGTGCCTGTTTTTAAAGAGCAGATGAATGTACTGCATCCAGTTTTAGTCACAGGAGCCAGAGGAGTCAGGTAGCAAACAGCTTCAAGGAGCAGCAGGAGCAATAAGATTGTTTCCAGCACTCTTCCCACTGAGTAACTTCAATCATACCGGAACTGCGTGTGGAGGGAGGGTCGTATGTTTATATTATAAGGCAGGACAGCTAGCAAAGTACAGAAATGCAATATTTAAAGTATATCCTCCTCCCTCCACATCGCTAATTCGTAAACAAAAAGAAACAAAAAGAAACAAATAAACGCAGTACTCCCCGCCCTGCCCTACATTGACTCAGCTGCGTCCCTTTCCATCTAACTACAACTTCCGGTATGCCTTTGGAGATGAGGGAATTGTGGGAATGATAGTTTCTAATTTGCTAAAACCTTTGGTAAGGCTGCATCCGGGAGGAGTGCACTTTCCAGCGGTCTTTGGAAAGCGCTGTTTAAAAAGAAAAAAACCTTCTCGCGGCTGCAGTTCTGCCTTTGCTGACAAAATGCTATGAAAGCAAAGCCAAGGGAAGCTTTGTTGTTGCGACCTGTCTTTGGATCTTCCTTGCCGGTAGGATTTCTTCCCTTTCTTTTCCTTTTCCTAGCCCCTTTTCCTGCTTCCCTCCCACTTGGGTCTTGCCTTCTTCCCTCTCTTGGAAACGTTTGAGAAGCGGTTTAAAGATGGATTTGGTGCGAGTTACTCAGGCTGAGCCCAGCCTAAAATAATATCAACATCTGTTACTCTCAGAATATCTCCAAATTTCCCCTCAAAGCTTTACTGCCTGTAAATGCAAATTTTTAGATCTCCCTCTCTCTCCCTTTCTCATCATTCTCATCTTTGCTTCCTCATTACAAGTTCTAGACCAGGGGTGTCCAAACTTGGGAACTTTAAGACTTGTGAACTTCAACTCCCAGAATTCTCCAACCAGCATGGCTGGTTGGGGAATTCTGGGAGTTGAAGTCCGCAAGTCTTAAAAGTTCCCAAGTTTGGACACCTCTGTTCTAGGCACTTTGAATACTGTGTATAGGTCGTCCTCGACTTGCAAGAGTTCATTTAATGACCGTTCAAAATTACAACAGTACTGAAATAAGTAACTGATGACCGTTTTTCACATTTACAATGCTTGCAATAGCCCCATAGTCATGGGATCAAAATTTGGATGCTTAACAACTGACTCATATTTATGATGGTTGCAGTATCCCAGGTCTTGTGATCACTTTTTGTGACCTTCTTACAAGCAAAGTCAATGGGGAAGCCAAATTCACTGAACCACGAGGTTTCTATGGAGATTCTCAGTCATCCAATAATAGCAGTTAGCAATAGCAGTTAGATTTATATACCACTTCATAGGGCTTTCAGCCCTCTCTAAGCGGTTTACAGAGTCAGCATATTGCCCCCAA